CGTTTCTATAAGTCTTCCTACCATTATGACCAAGTTGCAAAAACAAGGTCAAACAACTTCTATACAACGATAGAAGACTGCGACCACACAAAAGGCCACACCATCTTGGTCTTCATATCTTCGTAACAAAAGTAATGTTAAAAAGGGACAGTTAACCTCTCTTAAAGTGGTCTCATACCCACTTGCACGTTCAGCTGTTAAATACTGTCTATCCTATATCCGCAACTACTAGTTCTTCATCAATTATACGTAATTAAGTGAATGCAACTCATATTTGTCTGATTTATTGGTGGTCTCGAAACCGTACATACAAATGAAAAATGAGTAATTTAATCCATTATTATGGCAAATATAAATTTTATCAACGCGTTCTGTTTGTTCGCAATCTCCCTTATCTTTATAGCGTTGGTTCGACCTTTTGGAACGTACCTAGTCCCGTGTAAAATGCTATAATATTCGTGATTTCCAGCATTGGAACATTGGCTGGATACATTCATAGACGTTTCACCGGCATCATCATTGAGAGGCGTCATCGTAAGCACAAAGTTACAACGCCAAAATCACTGTTTGTCTGTCTGAAATATGACTGCCACTGAACCTTCCATTCCCGTCCTCAATTACGCCATATTCGAGGAGTTAGAGCAGATGGTGCACATGTCCATGTCCATGTACATGTCAGTGCCTATGAATCTTCCTCTCCCTTATCCCAAATCACATTATGTCTCACTCTTTGAAGCCCTGTATCCGGCTTAAGTTATAACCGTTGGTGTAATAATGCACTGCTTCACTTTTTTTCCTTTGAATCGCGAAAAGCATACTACTCTTGTCTCTCAAGTTGACATTCCCATTTAATCCTAGAGTACTGGGATGATGTTCATGTGTGTGTGCGTTTGTGTGCGCAGGCTGGTATCTCCTGTGGTCAAGCCTGTCATCAGTTACCTCCCCTTCAGGCACAGATATGAAAAATACACACAGCATCTATGCACACACACTGGTGACTTCTATCTAGCCCACCTATACCTTTAGTCTTTAATTTCATATCCTACATCTCACATGTGAACCTCCCGGGTGAATTTCTGGCCAATTCCACGTCCAACTCATCTTATAGCAGTCACTTCTTATTGACTTCCCTTTGTTCCTCATGATCCGCTCTTTGGTGATGTCTCTTCCTGTTGTTGAACAGTTGTCCTGGATCCAAGCGTCTTCTTTTTGATGCTTTCACTAAACCTCCAAGTCTGCTCAGGCAGTACGCGAAAGTATAGCTGACTCTTTCCTCTTCCAATCTCCTGTTCATAAGGTTTCTTTGGAAGAGGATTTCCACAGCCTCCCTGATCTTCCATTATTGGCGTTTTTCCCATATGAAGCCAGTCTTTTCGTTCCATTCCAATCAATTGCGTGGCCGGTAATGGCGGTGTTTAGCTGTTAATTATCTTTCTGTATCCATTTTTCTGCATAGTCGCTAGTGTTTGTTGATTCTTGTGCTGATTGTCCTTCTCGTCTCTCTAATCTATTTTTGTTAACAGTTTTTGGTGTAAACTCAGAACAATTCCATTTTGTTGATTTCTTCATGTTGTGTGGGTAAGCTGATAAAAGGATTCTCCTTTTCTTCAGGATTGTATGAATGTTCCGTTTCTCTAGTATTAGCCGTAGCTTTAGAGCTAATTCGCAGAAGGATATACATATTCGTCGTTTTTACTCTGGTTCTCTAGCTTTACTTTCAAAATTTCCATCCTTCCTTTTGTTTATCACTGTTAACCAGACTAATCGACTTTATAATAAGGACAACCTATTTTACATCCATCGGGACCATCTATGAACAAATATATGGACTTCCCGCAGGATCGCCGCTCTCACCACTTTTCGCAAACGTATACATGAACAAAATAGAAGAGAACTTCAAGATGTCACCGCCACAACCAGTAGTGCTCATGCGGTACCTGGATGATTACTTCGCCCTTTGGTCACATAGAAGAGAAATACTGGAAGAGTTTCTGAAGTTTATAAATCAGATAAATGAAAAAATTAAATTCACGATGCAAGTAGAGGAAAGTGAGTGGTTACCGTTTCCTGGATGTTGAAGTGATTCGTTATAATGGGACGCACAAAAAGAAATTGTTCAGAAAGAAGTATTGTGCCGAGATAATACTCAATTTCCAGTCCCATCACAATTGCAGGCTAAATATAGGAGTACTGAAGAGCACGATCATCCTAAGCCTACGCTTAACGGATGTGGAATTCTGGAACGAGGAGTTGGACAAATTGACTATGATATTCCTCGGTAATAGCTACCCAGGCGAAGTACTACAAAGAAACATAATGGCCATGAAAAGCCGATGGCAGAACGGGGACTAAGAAAGAACAGTGAGGACGGAGAAGGATTCACAAAAGTAGATATGCCTACCTTCCTGAAATCGAACTCAAAAACTACAGCCAATATTTAAAAAATGGAATATTCGGGTGGTCATGAAAGAAAAATCAACATTTTTACGAAGTCTATAGACGCAAAATGAAAGGGTAGACAAATTGGATCGTTCAGGAGTTAAATGTATGTCATTCGGCGCGTACAGACATAATATATATTGGCGAAAAAGGGAGAAAACTTAGCAATGAATCAAGGAACATCAAAGACTCTGCAGGAACTCGCACAGACTGTATACGAGATCAATTGGAAGACAACAGAAACAAGGTTCTCGTAAGTGAAAATACAAGGAAGAGAAAGATTAGTGGTTATTTACATTCTTTGGGAGAAAAATTTAATGAACAGGATATTGGAGGAAGGTAGAGTTAGCGATAGTTTGCCTAGTGATTAAACAAACTCGGGGAAAACAAGAATACAGTAAGGCCAGCGAAAAGAAAAAGCTTGGATCAAGGATCTATCGCTAACCGGAGGAAAAGGGATCGCGATGAGAAAAGGAGGAGCGGTGATTTTCGGCAATCAAGCGAAGACGTTGTCAGTGGCTGATGTCCGTTCGAATAAACCAGAATAACTTAGGGGGCCTGGGAAGACGGATAAGCAAGGTGTCACGGAAATTCGACGTTATGGCCAAAATATAAAAGAAATCCATTTGAGATTCCGCATGCGACCAGAGATAGACGTCCATAGTTTGCTCAGATAACATGGGTTTAAGCAAGGAAAGGATTCGTGAAGGGAAGGCCTGATATATGAAAACATGGGAATCAGAGGTTAGGCGCTCTGCTCAATAAAGCGGCAGTGTATGTGTTTCTAGGTCATTGAGAAATAGCGCCTGTAGTGAAATGCATTCTGGGACTGGAACCGAGTGAAATCGGTCAACCAGAAAGATAAGGAACGGATCTACGAAACAATAATGGGATCCAGATTGGAGGCCCGAGTCGGATCAGCCGATTGATAGAGAGGGGCCGGCGTGAATAGCGGGTGTGATGTGGCCACACTAGATTTGCCACAAAAGGGCACACATTTTGACAAGTGAAAAGTAACCAAGTGAGAAGTTGTGATAGGGCGGCAGTGGGATAAGAGTGTAAACAGTTTTAGATAGACAATGACAGAAAGAGGAGTGATAGTGTGACCATTGGTCGAGGGATTGACTTCACTTGTCTCTGACGCGTTTGTAGCTTGGTTTGGAGAATGGCTATAGTCACTGATGCTGCCGACTATGATGCCGGCGAAACGTTTGAGAATGTACCAAGTCCACCCTCTGATGCTGGGAATCATTACTACTACTATGACAGACGACTTCGGACTAAATGCGTTCTACTAAGTCGCCTTGACAACAAGACA